TATATATATAAAGAAATATAGTTTTAAGGTGTGCTATATTTAAAGTGCTCAATATCAGAGATATGTAAATATGAAAGTGATCATTGAAGTCAACACCAGAGGCGACAGGCTGTTTCATGCTAGACACAATCATCAGGCGGTCTGGCGTTTGCGTCTGGCATGAAACAGCCTGTCGCTTCTGAGTGTTGGCTTCAATGTTCATTTATATATATATATATATATATATATATATATATACTGTCTGAAAATATAATGATAATCAAATAACCCTCAATAACTCAAAAGGTTCTGAACTAATATTTTTCAAATTTAAATTCGTCAATTTCCAACCTTAGTAAAACATTTAATTAAATTTTCTGTCATTTTTAATTGTTAGTTTTTGAGATATTTGGAATTTACGAAAATGGACTGACTGAAGTTATGATGCAGATTATATTAATAGTTTATGACCTCTGAAATCTAATAAAAACTATTTTTGGCCATAGTATATGTTGATCTGACAATTGCTGGAAAGCAGAAAATAACAAAGTTATTGAGTGAGGGAATGTTCACATTGGAGATATCAAAAGAGCTTTGCAGACATCATAGAGTGATAAAGAAGGCTGTTGAAAATATAAGTTAAGAACTCGAAGCAAAGGAAAAGACTTTGAGAACTTGCTTCCTTGAGATTAATTCTCTTAATTTTCCTTCTCTTTCCAAATATCTATTCCCCTTTCTTTCCTTAAGCCCTTAATTCCGCCTCTTATTTCTTACATCTTTACTTCTCTTTTTTCTCTCTATATCATTTCCTGTGAGATGACCTATTAAATAGGTCAATGTCTGGTCCTTGCCCCCTCTTCCTCACTATTAAGTATTGTAATAAAAATAAATTTAAAATCATTCCTATCTCTCCCTTCCCTCTCTAATTTCGACCATGTCTGTCACACTCTCTTTTCCGAACTCTCTATATCACCTTACATCAACTTACAACTACCCCTCAAAAATGTATAAAAACTATATGTAAATTTAAATTCATTTTTTCACCGTTGGAAGTGATGTCTGATGAGCCAGAGAAAAATAAATTATAACCAATGGGCCCTTAAAGTTGTCTGTTTTCATTGAATTAATCACTCTGATTTAACATTGAGCTCTCTGGATTTCATCCTCCTTGGGATTATCCATAGAGATTACCAACATTTTCATTACTTAATTAATTGTACACATGCACACACACACACACACACACACACACACACATATATATATATATATATATATATATATATATATATATATATATGTGTGTGTGTGTGTATTAACCCAGGTTTTACATGTTGTGCTCATTCCAGATTCTCGCAAGTTCATATTTGTTTTGTTTCGTATAGAAATGTATACAAATCAATTTCTAAAGAAGTAATGGATTTATTTTTTAATCCGACAGATTTCTATCGCTCTAAACATTATTTTTAGTGGATACCCATATTGAATAGACGCCACGTTTCTGGGAGGAGAAGGATTTCGCTTAAAATCCATTAAAAAACAGAACAAATACAGACACTTACCTACACAGACCGCTTCTCGAGTTTAATCCCACAGCGAACGTCAGGCGACCAGTGACACGCGCACACACACACTCAGATACACACACACAAACATATGTGTGTGTGCCTGTCTAATACGATTCGTAGAAAACCATGAAAAATATGATGACAGATAAACAAAGAAACATTAGGTGTCATTTTATATACAACTACTCCATTGGCTGTTGAATTAAGGACATTCCTGCTTTCATTTGAAATTTGTTTTCATTGATAAGTACAGACAAATGAACGTCAATCGCCGTTTAACACAAAATAATCATAGATTTCTCACGTATGTATTTTCATATTCTAAGCTATCCTTTTTATGGTGAGTTAGTATGGGATAATTTATTGTGTTACGTTAACGTTGCTAAACAATATATATTTTGGAAAGAATGTGCCTGATAGCTAAACATAGAAAATGATTTTGATAAAAAAAAATGTACTTGAGCGCATCCGTAATAATTTGGTGACTCACAAGATAAATCTGAAGTTGATTCTGTTGAAGTAGGCTGTGAAAACTTTAACAAAAAATTAGATATTATTTATTCAGCCCAAGAGCTGATCATTAATACAGAAATCTACTTGGAAAGTGACGAAGGGTAAGTTGAAAAAAACAAACCCCAAAAAACTGATGTTTTGGCTATGGGTGAATGTGTTACTATAATAAAGTAAAATGTGGTGGAAGTTTTGATAAAACGTCTTAATTTTTTTTTTTCAGATCCGGACCTCCATTTGAATGGGACGAGTAACAGCACGCATCAAATGCTTATACAAGAAAAACAGATAGAGAACTTGCAAATGGTGTGTATGAAGACATTTCAGATATCCTCGCATACTAAAACGAGCACAAGAATACACATATGTACGCGCATGCGCATGCGCAAACGCACGCAAACGCGGACATGCAATCACTCAACCCTCAGGCGTAAGTTATAAACGAACTGATTGAAAGAAGAGAGAAGAAATTATCATAAGACATGGCATATCAACACATGATATATTGGGCCTCTTTCTACCTACCTACGTATCTGTGGTACATAATGCTTTCAGTATACTACAAAATAACTTTTAGAAAGTATCAAATACACAAGTTTAACAGTCCTTCTTCGGGAGTGGTTAACATGTCTTCCAAGAATAATTCCATTGTAGGTAGGGCTTCGAATACTCCGCCTGTATCCGTACAGAAGAGTAAGACACCCCGCAAGAAAAGATCATTTTTATGAGTGGATACTATCCAATTCGAGTATATAGTCGACCTACGTTTTGAGTTTAGTGCAAACCAGGCATACATTTGCCTTTTTGACTCTAGTACAAAGCTGGTCATTTTTTACTCTACGGAAAATAGCACCTATATCTACCCTTTTAACTTTAGTATAAGTCGTACATGTATCTACCTTTTGTTTTTTTTAATCTGGTACAACACTTACCGATGTTTACTTTTCTCGTGTGGTTCTAAGCGGTTTTTCTCTCTTTGCTCAGTTTCCCACTCTCGTATCGCCATCCATTCATACAGGCTCCCTCAGGTACGTGTCTTGTTACCTTCCTCTATCTCTCTTGCTCTCAATATGCACCGTAAGGGTTAAGTTTTCTAATCCCCCCCTACATCCTCATCATGTGTTCAAGGAATTTCAGCTATCTTTTCTTGTGTATGTGTTCTTTTTGTTGCCATTTTCTTTAAAACTTCCTCAATGCTCACTAGCTCCGTTCATGGAATACTCAGTATCCTTCTGTAAAACATTATTATATTATAATAAATTATTTTTGACTCGAATGTTCCTGTAAATGACTTTTTATACCAATATTAAACACTTCATGAAAAGATCTCATTTACATCTAAAATTTATGAGAGTAGTTCTCACCAACCCACTTACAACTCCCAGGCTTATTTTGAAGACAAAAGATGATACAAATTTTGAGCTAATCTCACTTTATTAAAGTCAATAATGAGATTTTAAAATCAGTGTTACTTTGTGTTTCTCGGCTTCGTAGGCTGTTATTTTGAATCTAAGAATACATCTATAAGGACATTAATTAATAAATCAAGTCATTAAGAATGATGAGGACAAATTAGAGTGCCACTAAACATAATTACATTCAATTGTTGCCCCACGTAATCAGTACAAATTAATGATTAATTTATTAGACTCAGTTCGCCCACCTTTTTTTCTTTATGAGTGACAAAAACGAGAAGATTTTTATAGTCTGTTATCAATTAGGAAGAGACAAGTAGTTTGATGGAACCAAAAAGAAAGAAGTGATAACCTCACGAAATACATTTAATTATTAAACGAACCCAAAAATTCTGGAAGGAAACGCACACACAGACACACACACACAAAACTCAAAAGAAAACCTAAAGAAAATATACAAAGAAAAAAATCATATGGAATTAAAGAGTTCGAATGAGTTACCACACCCTTCTTTCTTATTCTATGTGCCTTCAGGATGTTGATGTTCATGGCTCTCCACAATTTCCTGTCTTTTGTAGCTCTTAATAAATTTTGTCTTTTTGTTATCTTGCTTAAACCTTGCTCCACCATCAATTTACTCAAGTTCGCTAGGTAGGTTATGCTTTCTTTTCCTCTGTCCCTGTTGCCTTCAATCTGTACCGTGGGTATCAAATTTTCCAAGCCGTCTTTCCTCATTATGTGTCCTTTGAATTTCACCTTTCTCTTCCTGATGTTAAGTCTCAGTATCCTTTTTGCTTCCATTCTCTCTAAAACTTCATCGTTGATCACATGTTCGTTCCATGGTATTCTGAGCATTCTTCCATAGAACCGCATTTCAGTTGATTCAAGTCTCTTCATCGACTGTGAAGAGAATGTATGATCGATTCCTGAGCAATTACTACGGAAAGGAACATGAATGTAATTAGAACCATTAAAAGACTTTTCTCTCAAACACCTCTGTAAAGATAAAGACGATCTTTTTCCAATTCGAAAATTTTATCTCCTCCCACCATCACTTAGCTCTCTCACCATCACCTGCTCTTCTTTATTTCCGCCTTCTTCCTCTTTTTCTTCACGACTATTTTTTTTAATAACTTTAAGCATATTAATAGAATTAAGTAGTGAACAGGGAATTAAATCTCCGATGTTGAATACACCTAAATAGCTTGATTGATTGATTTGTATTTTACGGCTTATCAACCCTTTGCAGGTTATTTAAAGCCAGTAAATATTTCTAGACTGTAAGAATTTTTGGGGGATGTGTGGAAATAATAATGATTTACTGATACAAGTATTACTAATTACTCAATAGCTGGGGAGACAAGAGGTGGATTCATACCTTTCCCAATGGCATTTGCATGAAATTAAATATAATTAACTTGGATTCATTTTTCCCAAAGGTACATAACAAACACAAACGGAATTGGAACACGGCTCTCCGATTAACAATTCCGGGACAGTATCTATAACACCACCCGCACATCCAAACTTACAGCACCTATTATTCCCAAGCGGTCACTCATCTAGATAATGATCAGGCTTGGCGTTGCTTAACTTCGGTGTTGGTACGGGAACCAGTGTTTCAACGTGATTCAACGTATGCCGAATTCACCTAAAGTTAGGAATATAGAATTCATATACTTTTAAAATAACCTAAGGAAATATACAGAAAACACATTTGGTTTCAGTACACAAATGTGAGTTTTGGGAAGAAATCGCTTTGCAAATGAAACCCTTTTAAAATGAGACCCTCTTAAAATAGATAGAACCGGGCGTTCCCTGATATCTCCAAGAACTGTTGCTTCAAATAATTAAAAGCAACTGACCTTGTTATGCATCTAGAATTCATTGTAACACCAGTTCTCGTACGATCACTGAAGTTAAGCAATGTTGAGCCTGGTCAGTATCTAGGGTGACTGATTACGAATACCAGGTGCTGTAAGCCTGGATGTGCGTGTGGTGCAAGGGACAATGGCTCAGAATTGGAAATCGGAGAGCTGAGTTCCAATTCCAGTCAGGTTCGTTATATTTCACTTACGCTCAAATAACCTTTTGCAAAGGTATGAATGAACCTCTTCTCACCCCCAGCTATGGGTTAATTAGTAGGACTTTTATCAGTAAGTCATTATTATCTCCTCACAATTCTTGTAATCTAAAACTATTTTGAGGGTATAAACGACCTACAATGGGTTTATAAGCCGTAAAAAATAAATCATTCTCAATGCCAGACTCCATTGTGAGATACTATGCAAAACATTTTCAACTTGTTGCTGATGTTTTCCCGTTGTAAATACAGCCAAACTTATATTTAGTTGCATTTTATCGCCATGCATTCAAAAGTATTGCAATTATAGAATTATTTCTATTGGATAAAGTCTACACGTCTCTAAAGCGTTCTGTAGTTCATAATTTCTAACTTGTATTCAACCACCTTATAGTCACAAGTATTACTTTTAACTTATTCTTTATATTCGAGGCAGTTGACACATTTTCAGCTTGTATGCATTCCATATTTTTACGCCAGTACCTCAAGGAAAAACCAAACTGTAGATATTCACTCGGTAAGGACAAGAGAAAAAAAATAATAAAAACTGTTATGGATAAAATTTTGTCAGATGGCGAAGGTGGTTTTTCTTCTGGCAGACTCCCGAGTAAAGATTGAAAAAAAGGCGGGAAACAAAGTAAGCTGTGGAACATAAAGGCTATGGCTGTACTTATAAATAAGGATTGACAGACTAGCAATTTTAGGAAATGCAACCTGTAGAGGTCATGATAATAATGTGGTCAGTAAAAGCACGAACACTGTGGAAATTGTTGATGATTTAAGTATGCTTACTGTTATTCTATCTACAGTAATAGCCACCCGACACCTGGTGTGGACATAAAATGGCAATAGTAACAACAACAATAATAATAATAATGATATTAATAATTGGAACTTTGTCCGTGTTTATATCTGATTCTTTTCTAACATTTGTAAAGCAGTGAGATAATTAAAACAATTTCCTACCTGAAACTGTTTTCCACAAAAATTCTGTAATAACTTCATACTTTCATTTTTACTTTTACTTTCACTTTCAGTTTCAATTCTCTCTTTAGTCACTCGTTCCGTTCATTCAAAGAACTAGAAAGACTCATGAAAAATTTCACGGTTTTCTTATTTGATTTTTCTGATTCGTCTCAATTCTTAGGTTAATGATTGAATAAGCTCATGGCAAGTTCTACGACAATAGAAATTCCTCTATTGCATCATTAAATATTTGAGCTTAACTACTTTAACAAAAAAATTGAACAGTCATAAACATGAATGCTGGTCGGTATTTTAAGTAGTAATGAAGTACAAATGAAAAGATTTGAAACTGGCAAATTTTTCCATTTCACTGAAACAGATGTTAAACTCTTCTTTTTTTTTTTTCTTTTCCTCACTGAAACCAAACAGCGTCTCTGACATATCTTTTCCGCGATCAGATCGGAATAGTTCATTACTTATGGGACATTGGCAAGGTTTTTTTTTTTTACTTTCTTTTTCTCACTGAAACCAAGTAAAGTCTTTGATATGTCTATTCCGACTTTCCGCGCGATCAAAACGGAATAATCCATTACTTATGAGGTATTGCCAGGGCATCGAATACTAAGGAACGAATAGAGGAACAAGCTGAATTATAATAAAATATTTCATTCTGTTTTTCCTTTTCTTATTACTGGATGGACGCCATTACAGACAATTCTGTAGAAGCATTCGATTCAATGTCATTCATTTATTTGAATTAAAATCAAATTTCTAATTGTTATTACGGATATCGTATTTCCATGTTTTGGCATATTCCTTGGTGAGGATGTTTGCGTTTTCCCCGGATTTAATATAAATTAAATCACTGTAAGATATTCGTTTTATAATTACTAAATCTAAAGGCATAAACGAAACATCCAGCTATTAAAGTTGGAAGTATTCAATATATGATTGTATCATCATCATCATTTATTCAGTGCATTTTGGACCGCCGTTATGGTCACCACTCCCCTCCACCTTACAATTGTGGTTCCTGATGACATTCAAGACAGAATAGTGCAATAGCTTGCTGGTTCCTTTAACACAGGGATGTTGAGCTTACAGCGTCCATGCTCTCAGAGGATCCTCCGTCTACTGATAAAAACTTTGACCTCTGAGGCGTCACTCCTACGCACAGGCAGACCGATAGCGACTTGGCATATTTGGGTTGGGGAGAGACATTCCCTTTCACAGGTTGGGTCAGGAAACACTTCCGACTATCCTCACACAGCTTAGCCGTTAGGTCGATGCCACTGACCGGAGTGTGGTCGTCGCAGTGCCCATGTGGCTTCTTGGAGCCATGTGTGAGTGTTGGATGTAGGCCGTGGACCAGTGCAGTTCCATAACCCAATTCATCTAAGTAAAGCGGAGTCGACCGCTTCGCTGCAAAGGTAATAAAAATACACCTCATAATAGCATATAACCGTAAAATCTAAAAACTGATTCATGAACGCCACACCTTCCTCTACTGGAATGTATTGTCAAATATGCATCATTTAATATCAGCTATTTATTGTCTTTATTTCTTCTAAATCTTGTCTTTATTTACATTATTCGGACTATTGTCCTCATCTTTGTCGCCATATTTATTACAACGTTCGGCCGTTGTACGCTCCGGCCTTCTACAGGTGGTTGGAATGTCGAACTGAACCCTTTATTTCGCTCACTGGGGTAGACTGTTCTAGTTTCACGTGACATGTTTAATGAATGTCAGTTATCAGTTGTCTCCTGTTAATTTCCCTATGTAAGTTCTCCACTTATTGAACTCACACACTTTGTCACACCTGTCACTAGATCTAACCAATGCCTTTATCCACTGTGCCATGTGTCCTTGGGGACATCTGTGTATGAATTTCTGGTTATTAAAAACCTAACACACGTGGCATCTGACAATTTTATGTTGTAGAATTTGCAAAATATACTATTGTTTAATAAGTCAATCTGAGTGATTTGCTTTCATCAAGACCCACAGATTTTATTCTTTGTCTTTCTGTAGAATTGTTCTAATAAAAGCTACCAACTAGAATAGTATCAAAAACTATCGGTTTTATTCATGTTAATATATCTTTAAAATTCGCTAGCTTACTTTTTGTTCCTCTTTATTCTTTGTTGGATACCGAAAATAATTTGATTTACTGTTAATATATTTTCGAACCATTTCCTTTATGTGCTGTCTCAATCCTCATGTGATACTTGTAATGACAAAAGTACGCAGCTGTAGGCTTTAAGAAAGCTTTATTCAATTGAGAATACAAGGTTCGCGTATAGTGTCCTTTTATAGTCCCAGTAAAAAGAAATAGCTCTCTCAAAGAGGAGAGTAACAATACAAGGGGAAACCACTCTTGATTATTCCTGACAATACTTTTAAATATTTTAAAAATTTCTTTTAATGTATTTAAATATTTTCTTTCTTTTCTGTTTCTCTTCACACATTACGTGACGCTGCCAAATAATGTTCTAGTCATGTTCTTTTGCATATGAATTTTGAACTGTGGCACTGATATTTTTTCTAATTTCGTATATCGTCGTGTAAAAATTGAGATCAAATACAGATCAAATATGGATCAGAATCCGACAGAATGATATGATAAAGGACAAATAGAAATTGTTTATCAGTTTTCACTTTTATTAAATTCTCTGATGAAGCTTTAATAAAAGTAAAAAAAGTGTTCGATTCATCAACATTTTCTATTTCTTCTTTATCTTATCACTCGTGTATAAGTCGAAGTTATGTATAGTGCAACCCTTGAATTCTTTTATGATAAACCTGATTTTTTCATATAGGTCGTATATAATGCTAGCTTAGCTTCTGAGTAATAAAAGTAGACCGTCTGAGCCTATTTTATAGCGAATAAATGGTCTTCGTTCTTTATGTACAAAGCTACCCCAAAATGGTGAGAAAATATCCCATACCGTAAAATATTTGATACGAACATCGAGATACTGTAAGTTTGTTTTCGTTCATTCCTGATTTTTAACATCTTCAAAAATTACCTGTGTATAGCGCGACCCCTCCCACCAACCATTATTCGCGTAATACTAACTGATAATACAAACTTGCACTATACTCGATTATATTTGGTATTTTCTACAAAACATACGCTGCTGTTTCTTAAGATTCGGGAGATTAAAGCGTCATTTTCCGATTAGCTTTCAGGTAGCCTGGCCATCGCCGGTCTTCTCCATATGTTAATGGGAGCATTTGGCATCGTTGGTTTTCTTCTACGACTCATAGGTCCCGTTACCATTGTGCCAGCCATAACGCTCATCGGCCTCTTCATATACAAACCGGCAACTCGATTCTCTGAAACTAGTTGGGGGATCGCTCTCACGTGAGTTATAATTCCATCATTAAATTTCAATTCAATCTCTATCTCTGTGTGTAAATATATATATATATAAATATATATATATATATATATATATATATATATATATATATATATATATAATATGCATGTTTCATTAAAAACGACAGACAGGTACTACGGTTAAGCTTTTTATTTAATTTCTTTTTAAAACATCTCTACAACACACTAAACCATACACTTACTGTACACACTCAATTAAGCTGAAAAATTGAATCATCCTTGATAATGGCTAAAGGTATATCCGAAAGCTCTCGGAACTATAAAACATTTGGACAGTTTTTACACACTCTTTGTCCAGAAAAGAAAGCTCTTGTTCGAACACAAGAAAAATCAAATAAAAAGATTAACCTTAGTACCTTGCCTGTCGTTTTTAATGAAACATACATAAACAAAGGATTGCTGCCTAAATACACACACACACACACACACACACACATACATATATATATATATATATATATATATATATATATAAAACAGTTATCAGTTGTATTAAAAAGTGCTTAATATACATATAAAAAGAA